GCTGCCCGGTAGCTGACTGGTTCTTGAGGGGGAGGGAGAGAGTGATTCCTGTTTGGCTCTGTCTAGACTGCTGGCTTCTTTCAGAAGAACCTTTTTTTGCAAGAGATCTTATGAAAAACTTCTTCCGAAAGAGAGCGTCCACACTCAAAAGCGCATCAAAAAATCAATGTGCTTTTTTGAAAGAGAGTGTCCAGACTGATTGGATGCTCTCTTGCATAAAAGGCCACCTAGAGCCACTTCAGGCAGGGCTTTAGGTCACCAGTTGTTTCTGAGTGCTGGTGCCGGAGCCTTGCAGAGACACGCGCTTAAAGGGACCCCCTGGACAGCCGTTTCTCTGCTTCTGCTGCATGCTTAATACCTCTTTGAGGGACAGCAAAGCTCTTCTAGTGCCTGCTGTGGTTGCCCTTTTGTTTTTGGATGTCACAGCTTTTTCCTTTGAGACATGGAGCCAGAGCTGCCCCGTTGCATGTGATGGTCCCACGCGGCCATGCTGCAGGTCTGCAGCATTTTGTGCCAGCTGCCTTCCTGGTCCTGACCGAGCTCGACCCTGAGCTCATTCTGGGCCCCCTCTCTCTGGGTGCAGGAGCTACACTCTGGCAACTGCAACCCACTGTGGAGAGGCATTTCTGGAGGCTGGACACCAGTTCAGACTGGTGGGACTGGCTGGTCATGAAGCGATAGAATGACCAGCAGTGGCAGCAAAACTTCTGCATGAGGAAGGCCACTTTTTTGGAGGTGTGCCTGGCTCGCCCCTGCTTTCCAGAGACGTGACACCCACCTGCAGCCCACCATCTCCCTGGAGAAGCGAGTCACCATCGCCATCTGGAATTTTGCCACCCTAGACAGCTACCGTAGCCAGAGGTCCCTGAGGGGTAGCCCTGGGGAGAGTTATTGGGGTGTGACGGCTGGTCAAAAACCCACTGTGGAGAGGTGTTTCTGGAGGCTCAACTCCAGTTTGGACTGGTGGGGCCGGCTGGTCATGGAGCGGTGGGATGACTAGCAGGGTTTCCAAAACTTATGCATGCAGAAGGCCACCTTTTTGGAGCTATGTGCCTGGCTCGCCCCCACCCTCTGGAGACAAGACACCCACCTGCAACCCGCACCAGCACCCAGAGTGGAGCACCCACGGGGACACATCTCGAAGAACAACCGTTACTGCACAAGGTGAGTAACTCTTTCTTCCTGGGATGTTTGGAGGAGGGGAGGGGAAAAGAGGGGGACGGGCACCTCCCCAGGGTTCAGGCACTCCCTCTCTCTTTTTCTGTATTGTGTGTTTGTTTGTCTCCTTCTGCAGGTGGTGAGGGCCATCAATTCCATCCTGCTGTGGAGGATTATCTGCCTGGGAAACCTGGACCCAATCATGGCCACCCTGGGGTTCCCAAACTGTGCTGGAGCCCTAGGCTATGTCTAGACTGCATCCCTCTGTCGACAGAGAGATGTAGATTAGGCACATCAAAATTGCTAATGAAGCAGGGATTTAACTATCCCACACCTCATTAGCATAAACATGGCCATCACTTTTTTTCTAAACAGAGTTTTTTCGAAAAAAATGGCAGTCTAGACGTGAATCTGTCAAAAATAAAGCCTTTTTTGACAGATCCTGTATTCCTCAAAAAATGAGGTTTACAGGATCTGTCGAAAAAGGCTTTATTTTTGACAGAACCGTGTCTAGACTGCTGGTTGTTGTTTTTTTTTAAAACTCCGTTTTGGAAAAAAAGCAGTGGCCATGTTTATGCTAATGAGGGATATTTAAATCCCTACTTCATTAGCAATTTCAATGTGCCTAATCTACATCTCTCTGTTGACAGAGGGATGAAGTCTAGACACACCCATAGATGGAACCCACATCCCCATCCAAGCAAAGTCTTGGCCAAACACCCCCACACTTGCAGCTCATTAATAACGTTGCAAAATTTCTACTCCTGAAAACCAAACACGCCTATCCCTGAAGGCCCTGCCTCCTGCCCCAACAGGATTTCCATGCCCCTCCATCACTTACTCTCCACCCTTGCCCCCATCACTCACTTCTCCATCCCCTGGGACCTGAAGAGCTTGGCTAGCAGGAGCTGACGTGAATCCTGCCTATCTGCCCAACGAGGGCACAGAAAGGATCAATCCCCAGAGCAAGGAGCTAGAGTGGGGAAATCTGGTCACTCCCAAGATGGCACTTACATCTACTTTGCAGCCTGATTCAAGAGCCAGACTGTTCTCTCCATCAGCTGGGAGCGGGGGCTGGGAAGGTCAACAGCTGCTAAACAGAGCCACTCCTCCAGGCTGCTCTTCCTGCTTGTCCCTCTCCCTCGCTCACTTCTGAGACCAGCACTGCAAGTAACCAGACTTTTAGACTCCAGTTAGGTATGCTAACCAGATGCTGCCAAGTTCCCTTTTTGACCAGATGTTCTGGTCTGGACACTTGGCAATGCTAACTTAGTAGAGAGGTGCCCAAAATACAGCACTTTCAGTAGCAGAGACCTTGCTCTATTCTAGCATTAACTCAGTATCAACTCAAAGAGAGCACTTACTGAATGATCAGTTTCGTTTCATATAGCATCTGTTCATGGACTTCTGTTTTTTATTTTTAAACAGAGATACTCTCCACACATTGGCTTGACATGGAAATTGGACAACATCACAGCATCACATATCCAGTATAATAGCAAATGCCCACTGAAACCACTGTTAATCATCATCAGAAGTTAAGAATTTGGCCATCTGAAGACAGTGGAAATTTTTCCTGAGTTTAAGAGTACAGCTTTGAGTCTTGACTTGCTTCAAAGCTGGTACAGGCAGTCCCCGGGTTACATGGATCCGACTTACATCGGATCCCTACTTACAAACAGGGTGAGGCAACCTCGTACTAGCTGCTTCCCCCCAGCAGACCAGGGAGACGCGAAGCTAGCGCCCCTCCCCCCCCCAGCAGACCAGCGAGACGCGGAGCGGCTTTTCTCAGCAGACACCTCAGCTTGAGAATAAAGGACTGAGGGAAGTGAGGTGTGGGAGAATAAAACTGAGCTCTGGAGAAATGTTTGGCTAGAGTTTCCCCTACAATATGTACCAGTTCCGACTTACATACAAATTCAACTTAAGAACAAACCTACAGTCCCTATCTTGTACGTAACCCAGGGACTGCCTGTACAGTAAGAACAAACCTACAGTCCCTATCTTATACGTAACCCGGGGACTGCCTGTATATTGGTTAAAGAGAAATCGGAGTTTGTAATTTGCCTCCCATTTGCCATAAAAGAGAATCTTTCCTTTCCTTGCATTGCAGCCAAAAATATTTAAGATTAATATAATCAAGCAGAATAGATGAGCCTTTATTTCTGCTTAGTGGAAGCATCAGCTGGTTATATTCTTTTAAATACATCTAAGTTGCCGTAGTCCTCTTTTAAAAATAAAATGTGATTTTATGTAATTAACATATTTTCAGAGTAAACAAAATTGTAGTGTTTCACAGATTTTTGTATGGAGATATTTCATTAGCAAAACAGACATCCTAAGCAGCTAAGAATGTTGTATGGCTTTCCCTCAAACTCAACCCCCCCACCCTGGTGCTAAACAGAGCCACTGCTCTGTGTGGCTGCTACCTTTACCATACAACCTGACAGTCTCCAAGAGAAACAAGGGCCTTTATTCTGGGATACTCAGCCTCTTAACAGTCTGTGCAATTCTTCTAAGGAAAATTAAATACAAGTGCATTTGGGGATGGTGCAATACGTATATAATTGTCATCCAACCCATAGACTCAGACTTTCACTTGTGTCTGTGTGTGGTTTACTAGAAATCCAAGGCAGGAGCTTTTCAGGATTTTCAGTCAGAGGACGCATACTGTGTTACTTCACTAAGGCTACATCTACACTGCAGTCTACACTATCCCGAAATAGCTATTCCACATTTTTTGAGTGCACCCGCTATTTAAAAATATAACGGATCCCTATTCCAACGTCCCTGTAAACATCATTCTATGAGGAGTAAGGGATGTTTCGGGATAGCGGTTTATTTCAAAATAAGTGCTGTGTAGACAATGCCAAATTTTGAAATAAGCTATTTTGAAATAAGCTATGCAATGTGCGTAGCTCAAATTGTGTAGCTTATTGCGAGCTACGGGTGCAGTGTAGACACACCCTTATAGAACTCCCAGTGAAGTTACTTTGCTAAAAGAGGAACACGGGACCTATCCTTAGGCTTGTATCTTTACATTCTTCTATAAGCCTTTTATTTCTGAAGTACCCTGGCAATGTTATTGATAATTATGCTATTAGTAGCCTTAAACTTGTTGTTTTTCAACCAATGCCCTCCAAGATTCGTGAAAATCAATTTTTTTAAAACTTAAATTTTGTGGAAATTCTAGCCAGATGCCTAGTCAGTTTTGCAAGTCAATAATAAATTAGTTGGTTGGAGGAGTGCTAAAGGAATGATGAAGGAGTCTGTCTATTCTCTCTTATACCATAATGTAGTGCAAATTATTTCAAATTTGTGCAGACAGAAACAGAGGCTAGGTCTATACTACAGTCCTTTGTTGAAATAATTTGTGTTGCTTTTTCCAATCGCTTTTCCGGAAGAGTTTTATCCACCATTTGGCCCTGTCTAGATTGGGCCAAATGGCACAAAAGCCTCCTCTTTTGGCAAAGCCCTTATCCATCATAGAGCAAGGGATATAGAGTTCCCCAAAGAGCACGTTTGCTCTTCCGCTTTTTTTGCGCAAGAGCAAACGTGTTCCTTGGATGTGGCAGTTTTTCCGGGAAACCCCGCAGTGTAGACATAGCCAGAGAGACAACATGGGTGAGGTAATATATTTTCTGAAGTTTCCATTGGTGAGAGACATGTTTCCAAGCTCTTCAATAGGACCATAGTCCAATAAATTATATTAACCTCACCCTCTCTTGTCTTTCTAACAACAATACTGCATGTAGACAGAAATGTACATTGTGGGAGAATTGAGGACCAAATATAAGGAAACAAAACATAGTTTTAAACAAATATAAATGTTTATTTCCCATTCAAAAATTAAAAATATATTCAGGTATGAAATATAAAGATCCAATTTTTTTGCAAAGAAACACAGAACCAGATTATACAAGTAGTGCCATCCAGCAGCAATTTTTTTTAAATAACATGTACGCACATTAAGAATTCTAAGAAAATCTGTTCATTGTTTCTATTCATTTCACAAGTCATCTTATAACAGCAAGAAAATATTTGTCTCTCTATGTTGAAAACACAGTAACACAATATGCTTTATAAAAGCTGGCATATTCAAAGGAAAGAAGGCAGAGAGAATCTCTTAGTGTTTTCCTTGTAATGTATCATTGTTTCTAAACAAGTAGAAATAGACATTGCATATGCAATTCCATAAATATATATACACACACATATGCTAGGTAACAGACAAATTCCTTGTTACTGTTGTGACCGTGTAGGAGCAAGTGTTCCAAAGAGTCTGTCCCAGTGGGTGAAGTAAGGTGCATAATTACATTTGAACTTCAGGTGATGGAGATCATGATGCGGAGCTCCTCCATACAAACCAAATGGCACCAGTCTGTTTGTTGACCACGGAAGTTCATAGCCTGAATGATCCTCCACTGACAGCCAGATATTAACAAGGAAGAAAATAGTTTCTGTCAAAGGATGGCACTTCAGCAACTTTGGATTTATGGCAGCAAAAAATCCCAGCGAAAGTAACTCCCAAACACTTGAGTACTGTGTGCTAAGAGCAAATGTAGATACATGCTTGTGATGAACCTTGTGAAAAGTCTTGTAGAGCCAAGGCACTTTATGATGAAGCAAATGCCACAGAAAATACTGGAAGTCAAAGAGAAGCAGGCAAACAGATACATCCAGCAGGACTTTCGGAAGCTCTGGAGCCATTACTGGAAATTCCACTGGTCTCCAGTACCAATGAGCAATTGTCACTGGGAAGATAAAGACAACGTGGTGATAGACACATTGAATCATACAAGGTATCATCATTCCCAGAGTTGGATAAACCATAGGCTGGATTTTGTATTTTCTCAAGGCTGGTACTTTAGTGCTTAGGCAGTCCAGTGCAATGTAAGGAAGACAGAAAGTCATGTAAGCTGTAAAGGAAAACAGCACTGGAAAGTAAGGTGATGTGATGAATGGCTCCTTTGATTTGACAAAGTCCCAGAAGGGCTGCAGAGTGACTTGGTCCAGCTGTTTATCCATTCTGTCACTTAGCAGCACTCTGCTCTGCACGCTGCCGTTCATGCTGATGCTGTCTGAGGCTGCTGCTGAATGTGCTGCTTTTGTTAGGCGTTACCCCTCCCATTTAATGACATCACACACTACGTTGTCACAGGAACTCCAGGAGGAAATCTCTCTCCATCTAGAGCACTACAGCGTCAGAGCGGGCAGATTAGCCCACCCACAAGGCAGAGACTAATTCTGTAAATTGATTTATAGTGACAGGACAAGAAAATCATTAATATCATTCCAAACCCCTTTCACTATAAGATATGAATGGTAACTAGAAATAAACCAAGAATAGTGATAGAAATGTAGCCGTGTTAGTCTGGTGTAGCTGAAACAAAATACAGGACTATGTAGCACTTTAAAGACTAACAAGATGGTTTATTAGGTGATGAGCTTTCGTGGGCTAGATCCACTTCCTCAGGTCAAATAGGAAGTGGGTCTGGCCCATGAAAGCTCATCACCTAATAAACCATCTTGTTACTCTTTAAAGTGCTACATAGTCCGGTTTTTTTGTTTCAGAAATAAACCAGTGTGATATCCCTGAACATGAGAAACAGGAGAAAAGGTTGCAGCAGGATTTTCTGTGCCACTTCGCCCCATACATTTTAGAGAACTGTCATTTTACCTTTTAGTAAATCAAAGCAGTGACAGCTCTGCCTCAATGCTGAGGAATGAACCATACCATCAAAGAATTACATTTTTCTATGATTCCTATTAAAGATTTACTTGAACCTAAATCCCAGATATGACCCCCCCCCAAAAAAAAAACTCTTGAGGGGAGAAGGGGAGAAATCGGTCCACATACATTTTGCAAAAACCCCTATAAAGGACAGAGTTCCCTGACTCTGATCTCTGTAAACAGACCTTACACATTCTCCTGCCAAGCACAACACCATGTTTGTGTTTATTTACCATATGTTACACAAGTGGTTGTACCACTCCACATAAGGCTTTTAATTTCTGCCTAGACACAGGGCTCAGTTTTCCTGGTTTCCCTCCAGCCTTCTCTCCTTCACTCCTATCTCTGTCTTTTCACTGTACTTTATTGACAAGATGAATCTCTCTAATTGGTTAATCACCTTGTGCTCAATTCGCTTGTCAGTTTGCCCCCATGTGGGAACATTTAGAAAGTGTACAAAGTAATAAGGCTGATTAGGCTACTCAGATCCTGTCACAAGCCCCTCATCTGCATAATGAGTACAATCAATCTCCGAAATCAGAAAACCATCAAACCGTGGAGCTGCACTTGTGCCTTTAGCCCACATGTGTCTAGTTCATTACACATTCAGGTTTGATCCTGCACTCACGAAAGTAAGAGACATTGACTTAGGCTGGATGCAAAATTGAGCTGTTAGTTATTTTATTTAAATACATCATCACACAAGAAACTGAAGTGTCGGTGTCCATGCACATCAAATTGGACAAGATTAGTGCACACTAGAGAACTTTTAGTGCACACCAGCAGAGTCCACCCGAGCCAGTTACCACACAACACATTAGTGCACACTAGAATTTACATTCTTCTGGTACAGACTAACACACCATGCGTACAAGTCCCTAGGTTTTTGTGTCATTGTAAAGCAAACTGGAAAACATTTCAGGTATTGAGTACACCATTTAAATAAAGTACTTGCTTATCCTCTCTATATTTAACTCAACGTTATACACCTAGCACTTTTCACTTCGTAAGTAAGAAAGGTAAGTATTTCGGGTGTTCTGCCTTCTACTGTGAATCAGTATGTCCTTGACCTGTGTGGAGCAGAGGTCTTCAGATGCACTTAGCCAACTAGAAGCCATGCTGTGAGTTGTAGGGTGTGCACTTGGGGATGAAGCAAGGACCTCCGGTTCTGGGTGAGGAGGTCAGGGAGAATCGGAAGGGGGTAAGGACTGCATGGTGACATTCTCTGGAAGAAGGGAAACCAATGTTGGCATGCCCATGCGGGTGCCACTAATATCAAGGTGGTCTTGTCCACTTTGACCTTCTTCAGGACTTTGGGGATGAGGACTGTGGGAAGAAAGGCGTACAGAAGAGGCCCGTTCCAATTGAGTAAGAATGCGTTGCCCTGGGTTCCTTGACCTTCTCTCGCTCTGGAGCAGTAATAGCTGCACTTTTTGTTGTAATAAGTTGCAAAAAGATCTATGAGGGGCATCCCCCAACTTTGGAAGAGGAATTGAAGGATTCCGTCATGGAGCTCCCATTTGTGATCTGGTGCAAAGTGCCTGCTCAGGAAGTCCGCAGTAAGGTTGCTGACTCCAGGTAAGTAAGATGCCACAAGTGTGTTGTTGTTTTGAATGCACCAATTCCAAAGACAGATTGCTTCTACACATAGGGAGCGAGAACGTGCTCCGCCCTGACAGTTGATATAGTACACTGCCTCAATGTTGTCTGTGAGAATCTTGACTGACATATTGTGAATATGGTTGTGGAAGTACTTACTGGTTCGGTGATTAACAGGTTAACCTTCCACATCCCTAACAGAAAGCTGCAAAAAGAGAAATCTAGAGTTTCCAATTGGCACTATCATTTTATTTTATATTACATAACATATACCCCTTATTTTGAAATATCATGGCCACAGATCATAATGGTAATGCCCTAACAGGTCTATTTCCTATTTTACCTCAGCATAACTCAGCTTTTCCAAGGGAACCCCATCCTATACTTGTTTTCTCGAAAAACTCAAGTGCTAGTGAGTTCAGTTGGGTTTGCTCCAAAATTAAGTGCACTCGAAGCATATTAAATGTTAACTTTTTTGATAACTTGCAATTGGCTCTGCATCCTTGCTGGAAAAATGTAAATAATTAACTGAATAATGTAGCAAGAACTGAGAAGAATGACTATTCAATATCTTTTGAATTTTGTTTCAGGATCACATGTAAGTGGAAGAGACTTGGTCTATCTGCAGCAACGTCAGAGTCATCCATGGGTATTTTTAGCAACAGAGCTGCAACTAAACTTATTTCAGATAAAATATCAGTAGTAGTCAAAAAATTTCAATAATCCAATGCAACTAACACCATGGATTGTTTTGTAATAAGGACCAGCAAATACTAACAAGGTATCATAGATCAGTGGTTCTCAAACTTTTTGGGCTCCGGAGCCCTTTACATGCGTAAAAATGTATGCGGCATCCCAGCGGTCCACTGATTGTATGTGTTGTACCTATCGATGCTTCCAGTTTGTCAACCTCGCAGAGCCCCTGGAGATGTCTCGCGGAGCCCTGGGGCTCTGAGGAGTACAGTTTGAGAAACACTGTCATAGATGAAAAGATTGCTCAGTTTGTTTATGCCACAAATTGTCCTTTTTGCATTGTTAACAATAAACACTTGCACTGACAGGGTAGAGTCCCTATGACTGTTGTTTCTGGAGATATCTGTTTAGCTTTCTGAGATCCAGTATTGGTCTCCATCCACCTGTCTTCTTTTGTGTGAGGAAATAGTGGGAGTAAAGCCCTCTCCCTTTGAATTCTGTCCCAGTTAGATCCTAGCTGCCAAGGGTGAGAATCACAATATAAATCTCATCTGTACTTGATGAGGGAAATTCAGACCCTTAATGGTCCACTGCCATCAAGAACAAAACAATAACAAGGAAGAAGATTTGTTTTCCCAGACTGTTTTGATACAGACCCAAGATCAGTGCTCCAAGTGGGCACGGGGTGTAAAAATTTCCTCTTATTGTCCACAGTTTTGGTGACAGATCAGAGGGTAGGTCCTAAGGCATGTTAAGCCCCTTACCAGAAAAGGGAGTTGTGAAGCTCTAGAAAGGCACATCTACATAGCAGAGCAAAAGCTGAATTAAGCAACGCAACTTGAGCTACTTCAATTGCGTAGCGGAAGTCAAAATAACTTTATTTTGCTTTTGACGCTGTCTACGCAGTATGAAGTCGAAGGAAGAACACTCTTCCTTCAACTTCCCTTATTCCTTGTGAAATGAGGGTTACAGGAGTCAGAGTAAGATGCCCTCCATCTCAACATTATTTCAAAATAATGGCTTGCTGTGTAGAGGCGCACTATGTTATTTTGAAATAACTTCAGTTATTCTGAAACAATATACCCCAAGACAGCAGCTAGAGAGGGGAGAGTCATTCAGGGTTTGCCTAAGCTGAACAGATACCACAGCAATGAAGTCAAAAGGCTTTCTCATCTTATTTTAGAACAAATTGCTATGCATGATGCAAAAAGGGAAGATAACTGGGTCCTTAGGTCTTCACTCCCAAGAAGCTGTGTGAAACAAGTTACATAATTCCTGTACTTGAGGTCTGTAAAAATAGCAGATGCTAACAACAGCTGATGGATTCTGCATAACAGGAACTAGACTACAGAATATTATTTACAAGTCCATTTGCACCTCCTTGTGGCCAAAACCAGATTTCAAATAGCTTTATCAATGGTATAAGATAAGGTGGTTTTAAGATAAAAGCTTGTATGAGACTATTGTAATGGCTATTTTGGAAGTAAAGATTTTCTTTATGCTTTTATAGGTGAATTATAAAGCATTAAAAGTCGTTTCTAAATCAGATGAATTTTCATGAGTCACTAGGACTGAAAGCTGACAGCAACATAAATTGTTTCCTCAAAGTTTAACTTAGCGCCAATATCTATCTAAAAAAAAAACATCAATGTAACTTTGATCACAATCCAATATTTACTTAGTCCTTCAATTGATAATGATAAAATTGTTTGTGCTATCAATGGCTGAAATTAACGTAGCTTTAATATTAGAGAAAAGCAAAGTTACTCACCTTGGTGCAGTAACTGTCATTCTTCGAGATGTGTGTCCCTGTGGCTGCTCCACTGTAGGTACTGGGTTTGTCCCCATGCCACAGATTGGAGACTTTTCCATAGCAGTATTCAGGTGGACTGCGCATACACAGAGGGCGTCTTGCAGCGTTCACACTCTTTTGCACAGGCGCGCGATCCAGCTCCCGCCAGTTCCTCGAATTCGCTTTGGAATCTGAAAGATATAAGAGACTCCAAAGCGGGGAGGAGAGTGGGTAGTGGAGCACCCATGGGGA